AACACCTAAATCTTGTTTGGGTCCTGGCGTTATTACAAACAGTGTTCTCAACCTTCAGATCCCAATTCCTCATTGCTAGTACAACAAAAACAACCCCTCTCTGTGCAATGAATGGCCTTGCCTCTCTTGCCCGTGCATTATTGCCCAGAAGAGTTTATAAAAATGACTTCTTTGGAATTTTCTATAGACGGTCATGTCAACTAAGAATAAAGGCACCTCAATTTCTTTCTCTCTTATCCAAATGTCTTTTACTGTCCTGTCTTACTACGCTAGCCAGGACATCTGTATGGTGTTCACAGGACCAGCATGAGAGCACAACATCATCGATAGATGTTGGATATTATAGGCTTTTTTCCCCTTATTCTGCCTGTTGATACAGTGTTTACCCTAATTTTTTGAAATGCTGAAAAGGCCATTTGGTCATGAATTAAATAAGCTTCCATACATGTAGAGTATTGTTTAACACCTTATTGTTTTGACGAAGTAGCTGTCTCTCAGGTTGGCTGGGGTATACTAAGACACCCTGGGGATGCCACAGAAGTATTACAGGTGAACAGAAAAGAAGAGCTGTGATACAAAGCACTGTATTCAGTTTGTCATCCACAAACAAAACAAACAGCAAACGTTGGGGGGCGGGGAGGGAAAGCCCAGGCTTGGGGAGACAACTCTGGTAACAATGCTAGCTGTGTAGGTAGGAGGACATGAGTTCAAGTCCCCAGCACCCACATAAAAAGGCAGGAGTAGCTGTGAGGAGCTCAAACAGGAGGGTTGCTGGGACTTACTGACCAGCCTAGTTAAGCAAGTTGCAGCCAGGGAAAGATCTGGTCTCAAGGGGATGGGAGAGCAAAGTGGGCTTCACCTAAGGAATGGCACCTGAGATCAACCTCTGGCCTCCACATGTACGTGCACACTAATGGACCACTGTCTTCCTCTTGTTGCCAAAGTTACCTTTCTCTATTGGCAACAATGGCATCTCTACAAATGAACAAGGCCTCACATCCCTTTACCATTCTGACTGCAGCAACTATCACCCTCAGCTCCCTCTGTCACTTCCTTCCCCACTTCCCAGGGCTGTCCAACAGCAAAAAAATCCTATGTTCTCACCATGGACCCAAAACCTCAAGTCTTCTAATCCATTCTCATCCCTTTTCTCACCTGGCCCTCTAGAAGCTGAAGCCCTTTTTCCTCTTAGGCAGATTGTTCTTACAGTCTTATAATTTATCACTCACTCCAGCCCCTTCTTTGCTTAAAGACCCCTTGCCCTCACCCCAATCCTTCCAGCCCATGTGCAGGGATGGACTAACCACATGTCTTTCCATGCTCCCACCTGCTGGCTCAAAGGCACCCAGAGATACTTCAAGTGCTGCAAGTCTTGCACCTGGGCCACTGTCAATGCTTAGGACTCTCTCATGGTCTTACGCCGTCAGCAAGCTTCCCACCCCAATTTCCCCCTTTGCCTTTGTTTTCCCAGAGGAAGATAAGACAAAGATGGGCCTTGCACCTATAGGCTGCCTGCAGCTGTGTCTCCATTATGACAGCATCTTGCACCATGAGATATCCCAGGATACCCCTTTCCCACCTCCTCTAAGCCTTCGCCACCTCCCCAACTCTGACTTTCCCTGGCCTACATGCTTTCATTCAGACACGAGCATCATCAAGAGTCTGCCCACTTGAAAGAAGAAAAGCACAACATCTTCCTGGACTTCACTGGTCCCTCCCTCCTTACCCTTCCCTCCATCTTCAGAACTGCTGTGGCAGCATCACCTACACCTGCTCTCTCAGGAGATGCTCTGTCTTGCTCTGTGCCTGTGGTTAATCCTATGAACACACTACCAGCTCTGCTCAGGCGGCCTGTGCTCTGCACTCCTCACTCTTGAAGTGCATTTTCAGATTCTGCACTTGTGGAGTGTTCTTCCTATTCTTAGATGCCTTCACCCAGCCTCGTGTGCAAACCTCCTCTGCCCATGAGAAACATCAGAAGTCTGCAATTCTTGGTCTCATTTCTCTAAGCCCCCCCCCTTGAGCACACTGCTGGCCCTGACATATACTCCTAAGCCTCTACCCCTCACTTTTGCTTTACCTCCCTTTTAACCAGGTACCACAGAACCTTCTTTCTGAAGCTAATAAATCATTTCCTCTGGGTTGAGTACAGTTTCTCGTTTAATCTTCAAAACTCACTTGAGAGATGATCCCTGAGTTAGATGAGTGCAGAGGCCAGAAGCCAGTCCAATGTCCTATACCTAACAAGCTATGACTAAGGCTCAAATTCAGTATCCCTTCAGACACTTCAGGACAGCACCAAGCCCCCAAATCAAATGTGTATTTGTACTTTCTGGAAGCCGGTTCAGCTATGATACTGCCAGGTCCTCATGCTAACACAGAAGACCAGGATGAACTCCAGAGGGGTAGAGACATAACAGATCTTGGGTGATCTTGGCTACTCACTCTGTGAGTAAATCCTAAGGCACTCAGATCCCAGGGTGGAGCAGACAAGTTAAGCAGGACTTAAGTTAAGCACTGGGCCCCAAATCCTCCAACTACATCCTTCTAGCCTTCTGATCTTCAGATTTTCCCTTGCACACCTCTGAAACATTTGCAGCACACTACTGCAGACACCACTTCCTATTACCCTTGCAGTGGCTCTGTAAGGTGGGCGATGTTGCCATTCTCAGGTGCAGATGAGGAAACTGAGGCTCAGAGAGGTCAGTGGGCTGCTAGCTCTGGAGTCTGATAAGGTGTCCTGTCTTCATCATGTGGTCCAAGCCCGCCCATAAGTTGACCAGTGAGCTCATCCCAAAGACAGCAGCCTCAGCAGTGAGCCAAGGCTGGCCTCTGGCCAGTTTTCAAGCTGGAGCTCCCAGGCTGTGTACAGAAGCTCTGGCTCTCCATGGCCTGCATTTCCTGGAGCATTTTGCTTGAAAAAACACTGCTTGACTTCTGGATCACTGCACCACTTGGTGTGGGATGGACACGGTACAACTGTTTGTCACACAGGCTGTATGGCTTTGCCAAGCTGACCTGGCACCTCTGTGTGAAACAGATTACAGAGACCCCCCCCAAAGACCCATCCTCTGTGAGTTCTATGGCTGCCTAGAGGTGGGGACTAAGTTGGCTGCCAGTCAAAGAGTTTTGTTAAGAAAACTATGAATCCTCTGATAATGTGTACACATATGGCTCTTGTTTTCTTCCTATTTTTGTTTTGTTTTGTTTCAAGACAGAATTTCTGTGTGTCACTCTGTGTAGCTGTCCTGGAACTCACTCTATAGACCAGGCTGGCCTCAAACTCAGAGACCTGCTTCCTGAGTGTTGCGCCACCTCAACTAGGCTCCTTTTCCTTTCTCTTTCTCTCTCTCTCTCTCTCTCTCTCTCTTTTAGATTAAGCTCAGTTTGAAAGAAAAAGATCTTCAATACAGAAAGAAAAGAAATCACTTCTCTATGCAAACAAGCTGTGAAGCCCCCTAGCACAGAGGCAGCTATGCTGGTCTTGGCTCCTATTACACCACATCAAACAAACAACAAACAGTGCCAGCCCTGCCCGATCTTCAGACTATAAGTCAGGGCCTGGCCGTGGATGGATGCAGAAGCTGCAGAAGGTTGAAGAGGTTGAACAACCGTGATGTACAGGACCAGGCATTTCTAAAAGGGAAGACCCAGATGAAACTGAGACCCCAAAGAAATGTGAGCCCCAGCACCTAGAGTGTCAGTCATGCAGTAATACAACCTCTAGGCTACCATGCTCACTGGAAACCAGAAAAAAAAAAAACTGAGACTAATCCTGTGTGGAGGTCTGGCTTATGCAAAGGGAACCTGAGGTATCTTACTATCAAAGCACAGGCTCTGGAGGCTCTGTGGGAGAAATCAGAGGCAATGGTGCCTTCGGTTGGCCTCTGGGTTTCTCATTTGCTCCCAGGAGCCCACATCTTCCACTGTAGGAGGTATCTCTTCAAACCCAGATGTAGCATGCTTTCTTGTTACACTATCTTGGGCCTACCAGCCCACAGATAATGACCCAGAGGCTTATTAATTATGAAAGCTTGGACTTAGCTTAAGTTTTTTCCATAACTAGCTTTTATAACTTAAATTAACCGTTTATATTAATCTATGTTCTACCATGTGGGTTCACCTCTCTCCCATCTTGTACCTCCTGTTTCCTCTCTGTGTCTGGCTGGCAATCCACCTTTCTTCGTCCTGGAGTTCTCCCTCTGCCCAAAGTCCTGCCTATACTCTCCTGCATAGCTATTGACCATTTAGCTCTTTATTAAACCAATCGCAGTGAGACACATCTTCACACAGTGTAAACAAATATTCCACAACACCCAAAGCCAGAGTTCTAGCAGGACCAAGTCAGTTTAGAGAGTGTGGGGCCAGGTGGGTCAGAATACAAGGAAGTGCAACTTGAGAAGTGTCTTCTAACCACCCTACTCATGGCTTCACGTGAGTCCTTTACACATGAGCCTGACACTGACAAGGTGGTAGAGACATGATGATGATGATGAATAGGACAAACAAGTTTTCACAGAGATCTCAGGACATGCAAAACAAAAACAACTGAGTTGAGGACCACATGGAAGAAACAAGAAGGTGCAGTGAGGGAATGTGTGATAGGCAGACCTCAGACAGGCTGGGCACTCCCTATACAAGGGACATCAGGAAAGAAGAGTTTGGGCCAAAAGCACAGGACATGGGACGGGGTCCTATTGTGACAGAGATATGGCAAAGAGGGCAGACCAGGATCCTGGAGCCTGGAGAAGAAAGGGGACAGAAATGAGGCAAGAAGGGAGAGCAGAGGCTAGATCCCCACCCCTGACCTCCCAGAGCTGAGCTTCTACACAGTGTCCTCAGCACAAGAAAGGTGTGTTCTCACTCACTCTGTGAACCAGATGATGGCCAGTTAGGAAAGAGTGCTGGGGTTCAGGGCCAGGAGGCTAACAATGAACCCTGAGGGGCTTTGCAGGCACAGTGGACTGCTGTAAGGACAGACACTGGAGGATGGTGCTTACCTGGTTGAACCTCCGGGTAAAGGCCACAACATTAGGGGCAAGACTGTGTTTCTCCTTCTTACTCCATCCGCAGCTGGCCAATTCCTGGGAAGCACAGAGTTGGTGTCAACAGGAATTCAGTCAGGATACAAAATACACAGGCATCTGGCTGCAAAGTGAGCATGGAAATCAGCACAGCTGAAGCCTGACTATGCCTAAGCTCGCCAGGTGGAGGAGGAGGGCTGGGTCTGCAGGTGTGCAGGAGGAGGGCTGGGTCTGAGGTAAGGATACATATAGGCAGGCTCAGAGAAACAGCAGAGAGGCAGAATACTCTCCCCTTGTTCCCAAGATTACTTTGCCAAAATATTAAGTACCAGCTTCTTTGGGACCTAGAGGAGTTCTTACGGTGCAGATTGTCTGAGAAGGGGGATAAGTGTTTAAACCAGCAGGATTCACCTGGATTTCAAGATAGCTCCAGGATTCTAGTCTAGCTTAAAATTAAAATCTAGCTGAGGAAGCTCAGATTTTGTTGGTCATGTGACTGTGGATAGATTGTTTATGATCTAATAAAGCTTTTCTGGAGATCAGAATGCAAAGCTAGCCACAGTCATAGAGGCCAGGCAGTGGTGGCACACTCCTTTAATCCCAGGACTCACGAGACCTAGGCTAATGGATCTTTGTGAGTTCAAGGCAACCCAGAGCTACATGAGAGTGAATCAGTCTAAAAGAGAAACAGAGCTCACACCTTTAATCCCAGCACTGGAGAGGTGTATAAGACAGGAGCAGGGTCTGAGAGCTGGCATTCAGTCCTGGGCAATTATTCTCCAGCCACACTGAGGACAGGATTGCCCCAGCTTTGGTAGAAGTGAGAGCTCTCTGGTGGCTTGGCTGCTTTGCTTTTCTGATCTTCAGCTGGAACCCCAATATCTGTCTCTGGGTTTATATTATTCATGTTACAAGTGACATCCTCCATTCTTGCAATCAGGCAAAATCTCAGGCCAAGCCTCAACAACCAGAGATGCTTCTGGGATTACCTGGGATTCCTTCCTGAAGCTGACTCTCCCCCCCCCCCATCTCTCATACACCCAAAGAGACAGGAGAGAAAAGTACCACTAGTGTGGGAGCATTATCTACTTTCTCAGCAGGTTTAGCAGTGTCATTTAATGAATCAAAGAAGCTAAGTTTTACCTGTCACCAAGGTCAGCTCCTGTATGGATAACAGAAGCAACTGGATATGATCATGCAAAGGCAAGCAAATTCAGGGATCCAGGACTCTATTTGGTATGGGCTGAGCACATGACAGCCCAAGACCTCACACCTGCATGCACTGTACACACGCCTCTCAAACAATCTACCTAGCAACCTGGTAGCAAGCTAAATAACCCCCCCCCACTGAGCTGCCTGAACTAGTGTAAGTACCTGAACAATAAGGCAAACTGTGTTCTCTATGTGAACTTTTGGAAAGGATCCCTAATTTACCATCCCATGCCTGTGCATATGACTAAAATAAGATGCATCATGAGAAAGGACATATACATTAAATGAAAGTTTACATAATGTAAACCCCCAATCAAAACAGAGAGTCACCCATGCTACAGCCCTTAGCAACCAAACTCCTTCTCTTGAACCCCTTAAAAGAAAGCCCCAAATAATAATCGGGGATCTTGAATTCCCTACTCATACAATCATTATCACTGTTGATAGCATGATTCTTCCTGTAGTGAACTATTACTTTGCTTCAAACAAAGTTTCCTTGCCACTTTTGTAATCTGTGTGAGCCTTTATTTCAACTCCTTGAATAAGAGGCCAAAAAACCTAGGCACCACCAGGAACAAGTTGGAGTCTAGAAGACTAAGGAAAGGCCATCAGGAAAAGGCCCAGCATCCCCAGCCTGTGCTGCCAGGTGCCCTGACGGAGAAAAGAGGAAGGGATATTCTCTACCTAAACTTCTAAGACCCTCTGATTCTTACCAGGCCTCTGTCTTATTACCAACTTTGTTTTTGTTTTTTGTTTTGTTTTGTTTTTTGATACACACCTGAAACATTCTAAAGATCTTCAGTGAGAATCAGCTGCCAACCAGCTAGAACAAACATGCATCAAGGAGTCAGGGTTGGGAAAGTGTAAGCAAACAAAGGGAAGACCATGCACAGGCCCTTCTTGCAGTTTTTTTCTCAAAAGAATCGATACATCCCATTTTAGCAAGTGGTGCTGTGTTCATTCTCCTGAATGAATGCTGTGACTACACTTCTCAAAATTACACCTGAATGACTCTGTTTGCTGTCTGCACCTTATCTGGAATGTGGACTTGGATTTATTTCCAGCACATAGTTCTCCTGCCTCAACGGAATTGTGTCAAGACAAAGGTCTCTCTCTCCTAGGACTCCCAATGCCAATGCTGAGAAACTGTGTATTATAATTAAGTATAAAACCAGTGCATTTAAACAACATTCAGGAATTAGACTGCTTAGCGTCCAATCGCTGACTGATGGCATTTCCCTCCATATTTTCCCTGCATTCAAAAATAAACAACAGTAGCGGTGGGTGTGTGCATGTGTGTGCTTTGGAAGAATGTCTGTGCATACGCATGCGTATGTGTGTTTTTTAATTCAGAATACAACCTGGGAAGACACCTGGAAGAGAGAGGCGGTATGGATCCACAGTTAGAACCGGCCCTGGCTGTGCACACCCCAGTGGCATGGTGTCTGTCTTTGTAGAACTTCTGTTTGTTTTTCCTGTAGACCAGGCAGGACTCAAACTCACAGAGATCCTCCTGCCTCTGTCTCCCACATGCTGGGATTAAAGGCGTGTGCCACCACTGACCAGTTTAGAACTTACATTCTTATAGGACATAGGAACATGGGATGCCTAGACCATATGGGCACTTGATGAAGATGTCTTCCCCCGGTGGTTGGGGTACACACTGCAGCTCAGCATCAGCTCCAACATCAAGTACCTTCTTCTCTCTCCCTTCCCACTACTGTCCTGAAATGGTTTCTGTATCTCTTTTCACCACAGTCATACAAGCAAGAGTAACTGCAGGTACTTCACACATCTGCCCCAAACTTATTCACTTTGTATGTCTCTGAGACCTTCATTTGAACTCTGCTGAGATTTTTTTTTGTTTGTGTTTGTTGGGGGGGGGGGTTTGCAGTTCTCTGGGGAGCCTTGTGCACTAGCAAACTAAACCTCAAATTAAAACCTCAGCAGTGCACAACACTGTCTGAGGTGTTCTGACAGCCTGGGTTAAGCAAAGAACCTCAAGTACCAAGTCCTCACTCTGAGTCCCAGCCCTGCCACCCCATCACCAGGGTCCTAGGCATCAGTTCCATCCCTGAGGGTGTCGGCACACCGGGCATGTGTGCTGGCCCACAGCAGGCACTGGAGTATCTTTGGAGGGAATGAGGTCTGAGAGCTCCCTGGTACTGGATCCTCCAACCTTGGCACAGAAAGGTTATCAGGATGTCAGATGGAGTCAGACGGCTCTATCTGCACTGAAGTACTCTCTGGGCCAGCCTCCTTGGCGCCCTTCCCCTTCTGTGCCGGGCATTACAGGGTTACAAGAGATTCCATCTGTGTGAAGTGAGGTTGGACAATGTGAAGGAACAGGACAAAACTATTCCAGTCACTGAGCGAGGCCTCAAAGGGTTCACAATAAAGAACCAATCTGACTGTGATCAAGTTGACACCAACCAGAGGAGACAAGCTGGCTCTAGGAGGAAGGGGGTTTGGGTTGAGGCTGGGAAGGTCTGGAAGCTCTAAATTCAGGATGTGCCAGGGTTGTAATGGCCCTCCCAATGCCCTAGACCTACAGGCCATTAGGCTGGCCAGCTCTGACCCTGGCTGAGGTCAAGAGAGTGTGAGAGGAGACTGAGAGCAGAGTAATGTGGGTCTTGCCCTCTGCCGTGCAGATTCCCTGAGTCCACCAGAAAACAGAAGCTGTGAGGACGGAACTTGTGTCACTTGCAGTTCTCCTGGCCTCTTTGGCCTCCCTCTTGGAGACCACATAACCTGGCCCCATCCCACCATTCAGTCTTCCTAGAGTCTCGCCAGTGTCTTCAACCTCCTGCTCCAGTTCCCCTTCCTGCTTCGTGTTGCTGTACACTAACAGTAACATGAGATGCCTGGCCACACCCCACCTGTCTCCTCCAGCCCTCTTCCTTCTCCTCCACAGCGGAGTATCATCAACTGTCTCCCCTCTCCCTCCTGCCTTCCCCATGCCCTGATCTCCTGCCACTGGGTCATTCCTCCAACAATGTCAACTCCCGACTGGGACACCATGGCCCTACACTGTCCCCTGAACCTCTCTACAAGGCCATGTCTTAAAGGCCTGACTGTCCTAGTCCTCAGTCATGTCTTCCAAGTGCCTGTTTCTGATACAGGCCCCAGCCGCACCTGGATCTGTCCGTGCTTACCTTCTACATCCTGCTGCTTAGTGTGGTGGATCACACACATACCCCTGGCTTCAGCTGGTAGCCTTGTGGCACCCATGTTCCTGTCCTGAGCTCAACCAAGTTTCCAAGTTCCTTAATGGCCATACCTTCCTTGGGTCTTACAAAGCACCTCAGTTTCTGCAGGCCCAGACCTAATAGGTATAGGTTCAGGCCTACATAGCTGCCATAAAAAAATCTTAGCAACACAGGGTTTATTTAGACACTCTCTCTGCCAGTCAAAGGCAAATATTTATTACTAGCGCTGTCACAAAATCAACTTCCTTTTAATAGCCTCACCTGTGTGCATTCTTAGGCAACAATGAGTGTCAACACAGTCCTACTCATCTGACATAGCACTTCTGAGCCTCCAGTCAGGTGAGCCCCACAGCTCTGAGCCCACGGTCAGAAGGTGAGCCCTGGATGTCAGACACCATGACATGCCCTAAGAAAGGCTCAGCCTTGACTTGTGCATGGAGCATGAAGAAATCTCTGAAAGGAGTCCTGGGGAAGAGTGGTATCCCATGAAGACCTCCCCCACGGCATCTCAGCCTCCAGACCAACACGTGGCCCTCCACATGTGGGTTTAAGTCCAACTGCAGTCTTCTCCAAATCATGTTACCTCAGTATATCCACATGGAAAACACATCACCTCAAGGAAGAGCCGCTGGCTCAGAT